ATACCAACTCGTCGGTTGCTACGGACCACCATATTTTGACGCTACCAACTCCTATGGGATGAGGCGATCTGCTGCGTATTTAGATGTTACTAACTCGTATGGGACGACCCGTGTAAGTATTTTTTTCAAGTGAGAAGCGTTACCTCTAGTATATTACGATGATATTAGAATAAATTATTGTTGCTTAACTATGAAACAAAACCACCATTTGTGATCTAGTGCAAAAATAAACAATTTTAGAACTAAAAAAGAGTCTTAAAGCCCTTATTCGGCAGTTTCCATTTCAGTTTCTAGCTTCCAGCAGTGTTTTAGTCCCTATTTTCCATTTGCAGAAGTTTCAATAGCCTCTATTTTCCCGTTTCCAATTTCACATTTCCAGCTTCTCGAATTGTTTTTATCTTTTTCAGTTTCCATTTCTTAGGTTTGCAAATCAAAATTTCCAGTATCCAAGGATGTAGGAAGGAAAGAAATAAAATTTTAAGGTTCGTATTCGAGGTTCGCGATTAAAGGTTCAAGATCTTATGAACAACTTCTACAATTCATTGTGGTAACTAAGATTCACCGTGGCGAATTCAAATTTCATTTTAAGATTCAAAAGGTTCAAGGTTTAAATTGGGAGAATTAATGTATAGGTTTCAAAATAAAAGAGTTAAAATAAAAGGTTTTTAATTCATAACGACATAACTGAAACAAATTCAAGATAAAAAAAATGTAAGGAGGTGAACGAAAAATTCAAGTTGGTAGATTCGCTCATGACAAATTTTAAGGTTCAAAATTCATGAACGATTGTCGGAAATGAATGGAATTCAAGGTTGCAAATTCATCGTACAGTGTGTAAGGTTCATGGTTCAAAATTCAAGATTCAGTTTTGAAAAGGGAAGATTCTAGATTTTTAGGCCTTAAAGAGTCTCTAAGATGCAAGGTTCAGCATTCAAAACTAAAGGATTCTGATTTCAAATGTTTTGGGTGGTTTAAATTTAAATTCAAGAACCAAGATTAAAAAAGAGGGATGGAATAGTCAAGGCTAAAGACTGAAGATTACTAAGAACTCGTTGCGTAAAGTGAATCCAAAGAAAATTATCAAAGTTAATCTGAAGAACGTGACGAAAATGAAGAATCTGGGGAGATCCTCAGGGATCCTTAGGTATCTCCGTAGCTCTTCTGGGCGCCTAGTAGATGTCTTTTGAAGATCGTATGAAGAAATGAAGATCTTTTGGGAATATTTGAGGATCTGGGGATCTCTGGGCATTTTCAAAGGTCATTAGAGATCTTATAGAGATTGTTGGAAGACCTTTGGTAATTATCGCTGGACATTTCTATCTATCTTCAGATCTGCTTGAATTTTTTCGAATATTTGGAGATATTCTGGACACATTGTGGACCTTGGATATTTTGTAGATCATTTGGATACTTTATGAAGATCTTTCAGATTGTTGGGGAATCGTGGAAACTGTTAGCGACTTTTGAAGGGTGTTTGGAGATATTTTTATGTGTCGAAATTTTGAAATCTTTTGATATTGTTTCAAAGAACTCACTGGAGATCTTTGGCAATTGTGTGAATATCTTGGGAAATCCTTGGACATCTTTGGAGAATTTGGTATCTCTTCCGGACGCTCACTAATCATTTTTTGAAGATCATATGAAGACTTTTAGAAATCTGGTTTTGTATCTTTGGGGATCTGAGATCTTTGAACATTGTAAAAGATTTAGAGCATCTTTGGGGAGCGTTGGGGAACTCTCCGGGAGTTTCTGAAGGTCTCCACATTC